CAAGGTGCAGCTAACTCCCCCAGATCAACCAGCATATACCCCAGGACAGCAAGGTGCAGCTAACTCCCCCAGATCAACCAGCATATACCCCAGGAAAGCAAGGTGCAGCTAACTCCCCCAGATCAACCAGCATATACCCCGGGAAAGCAAGGTACGCTAACTTCTCCAGATAAACCAGCATATACCCCGGGAAAGCAAGGTGCAGCTAACTTCCCCAGATCAACCAGCATATACCCCAGGAAAGCAAGGTGGAGCTAACTTCCCCAGATCAACCGGCATATTCACCACAGTAACAGAATGAGGGGAAAAAATAGGAAAATTTCAATAGGTACACAAAAGACACCTGGTTAAATCCAACACCCACTCATGACAAAATGCTCAGCAGATCCAACATACAAGCAGAAAGTTAGGGCACTGACTGTGCAAACACCCTTCCTCTGACACCAGTAAGCACCCTCAGAGTCGGTAAGTTACTAGGGTTCCATACACTGAAAGCCGTCACACTCAGTTACGGTTTATTACAAGGAAAGGCTCCAGATTAAAATCAGCCCAGGGAAGAGACGCACAGGGTAGAGTCCGGGGCAGTTCCAAGAGCAGAGCACCTAGTTGTCCCCTCCCAGTGGAGTCCGGGACAGCGCTACTTTTCCTGGTGACAATATGCAGAATATTGCCGAGACTTATCCCCCAGGAAGTCAAGACATCAAGCTGATAAAGCATGACCCAAAGCACCCCCATCTTGGCTTCCAACAGCACTGTCCAATCACGCACTGTCCAATCACAGCACTGTCCAATCACAGAACAAGGTTCCCTGCAGGAATGCTTCGTTCTAGAACTGGGGCAGGAGATATGCAAGAGAAGCCTGCACTGTCTAGTAGGGCCAGCAAGTAAAGACACGTTCACTAAGCAAGAGAGGTGTGGGTGTGTCAAGGGACACAGGAGCTAACTAGAAGACCCTGCAATGGCCAATGCTGGAACACGCAGAGCAACACAATAAAGTGGTATTGGATCACTGCCCGAGGATACAGGAAACATCCCTGTCTACACTGACATGATGCGAGCCTATGCTGAAATAATACAGGGACTGCATGAATTAATGGGGGGGGGGCAGTCAATTCTCCCATGCAGAACTCCAAGTAACTTCTGAAAACAGTCCGTCCTCCCAGACGGGGACATAACCGCCCGTGCCTTAAGTGTGAGCTGCACATAGTGACCTCCCTCCTAAGAGGACAGTGAGAAAGAGGCCAGAAGCTGTCCGTCTCTGATCAGGCACCTGTCTTCCGCCAGGATCCATGAAACAGTGCAGGCTCGCTGGCCGGCTTGCAAGAAGGGAGTATCTCGGCCCCTCCACCAAGTATCCTGTTTCCTCTCCCTTCTCCTCCGGCTTCACAGCCCACCCAGCAAGGGATGCAGGGCTGGGGTTGAGACCGGAGGAGCGAGGAGGCTGAGCCAATAGCAAACCCGGGGAGACCAGGGTGCTGGCTTCCCGCTATGGCTGTCGGAAGAGGGAGCTGCAGATGAGAAGAGGGGCCATTGGGATAGCTAGTGGTGTCAGGCTGGAACCAGAGGCGTCACTTCGAAGTCACTGTCTTAGAGCTAGAAATACATTCCGCTGCGTGTGTGTGAACGCTGCCAGCTGCCATCTGGACAGCCGGACCTACAGCCAACGCATACAAAGGCACAAAGCTGGCTGGCCCTGCGCCGCCCGCCATCTACTGCGGCAGACCTTGGTGGTCCAAGGGCTCTCACGGCTCATTTCCGAAGTGGACCAGCAGGCTTTTCTTCCCAGTCCGTCTAAGTCTGGACGCTCCGCGGAAACCTGCACAGCCCCACGGAGACACGGAAGCCTCCATACAGACGGGTGGTGGCTCGGCAGGAGGTGCCTTGGCGGGAACTGAAGTCAGATCGCCGACGTGGAGACAGCAAGCGCTCTGCCCCTGACCCACCCCTGCCTCGTGCAGGGGTGTATGGGAAGCACGCACATGCGTGCACTTCCCCGCTCTGGAAACAGCATTACCCTGCTAGCGAGTGGCACGTCTGGGGCCCAGCTCTGGGTTCTCAGTGCCACTGTCCCCCACAAGGAAGCAGGACTCCCTGGAGAAACGGCTGAGGCAGGTGAAGTCAACATCTCACTGTACGACAAAGTAAGGACGTGCTCAACGAACGGGGCTCGCCCACAGGATGCAGGGTTGCGGGCAGCACCCTGAGCTGAAGCAGCAGTGCACGCGTCCCTACTGACGCCAACAGGAGCACGCTACGGGGAGACCGGGCCTCACAGAGGGCGTCTCAGCGTCTCCCACCGACGACTTCTGTTACTTGTTAATTAACCAGTGCAAAGTACTAATTACCTTCAGAGCGGAGCTTGGCAGGCGCCATCGCAGCCCGTGGACGAGGCCTCTCAGCACCAGCAAGGGGCAGATCTGCACCCTGGGACAGACGGTCCCTGGAGGGCTCGGGCCTGAAGTCTGCAGGCAGGCTGCACGGGGCGCACACGGGCTGCAGGCGGGAGCCTGTTTACAGGGCACTGTGGGGCTGATGTGCGCCGGCTCGCTCCAGGAGGCACCACCTTGTGTAGCGTCAGGGGCACTGGTCTGCAGGTCTGCACCCGTCCCAAGGTCCAGGGGCGGGCTCCGAGGGCCCCCGGCGGTGTGCGGAGGATGCCAGCCCTGGTGCCCACGCACCACCCCGCAGCTCCTCCGGCCTCCTGCCAAGCGCGGCCGCCGGGCCAGTATCACTGTCGGGGAAAGTATCGCCGTGTCCTGTCACCGAGGCGCAGAGCCACCGGCCGCTTCTCTTTCTCACACCCGGCTTTCAGCACAAGGCCTGCAGGTGGCCGCCGGGTCTCGGCGCCGGCGTCAGGACAAGCGAGGAGGACCCGCGTCCACGAGCACGCAGCCGGGGCGGGGCCAGGCCGCCGCTCCCGCC